ATTGAGGTGGAAGGCACCAGGCTATTTTATTTTTAGCCTCAAATTTGGAAGATAGTGCCCATGGTTGCTGCTGCTGCTGTTAGACCTGCTGCAGTAGTGTGGGGTTTATCAATTTCTATGGCTGTGTCAGACTGCCGTCTTCCCCCGAATACAACGCCCGGTCGTTATATCTGAATTTGGGGTATCTTTCAGTCTAAATACAGCTATAATCACCGTACGTTGTATTCGGGGGAAGAAGGTAGTTTTTCAGACTTACTGCCATTCTTGTCAGGGGTTTGGACCCCTGACACATCAGATTCTGCTAGAATTGCAGGGTTGGCGTGAATAAAGTCAACCACTTTTCTCTCTCGGGGATGGGTATCGCTAACTCTGGGTGACGTGGTGAGTCGTTACGCATCAGTCGAATGCATCCTGGGCAGGCTGTCGGGTTCAGCCTCCTGACGAGTCGTTGAAAGTCCAACGAAACAGCCTGCCTGATGCAGTCATCCTTTTTTTTTTTTTTTTTTTTTTTTTTGTGGAGTTGCGTATAGCAAACATGACAAGTTGCACATGCACATGTACACGCACGCATAACCACTTTCGATTGGGAAAAGAATAGGGATTGGAACCAAGCTACACCCGGCCCAGAGGAACAGGCAGAAGGATGATTCGGGCCCCGCATATCAAGGAGGAACAGACCAAAGAAAGGAGAAGAAAAGGAAGGTTGCGATTCAAACAAAGGATGGATGAAAATAAAGCAGCCTGAACTGTTAAGGGACGCTGGACCCGGTTTCCACCAGCAGGTGTTGCTCCCCACCAATAGATGGAGCGGCCCGCCAGGCAAAGCCTCAATCCTGGTGGTTCTCGTACCACCACCAGGATAGAGGCCTTGCACAAGGGCCTTTCTTCCCAAAAAAAAAAAAAAAAAAAAAACGGCAGCCTGAACTGGCCAGGTAAGTGGACCAACAGCAGGGCAANGGCAGCCTGAACTGGCCAGGTAAGTGGACCAACAGCAGGGCAAGTATGGGGGGAGGTAAGACCCCATGCGCACACAAAGGTTCCCAAAACCCATTCCCATGCCGACCAAACAAAATAAGAAAACTATGAAGCACTAGTAGTAGTACGGGGACCAAAATGTGGGACCAAAATGTGGAACCGAAAGAGAGCGTACTCCCCAGAAAGGTGAGCCATAAACAAAATAAGAAACGGCAAAAACTTCAGTAGAGTCCCAAACACTAGTTGTAATTGCACTATGGGGCATACAGTTTGCGATTGCCCGAACTGCAGTTCGAAACTGTATCTTGGCCCATAGTGCAATCATAACCCATTTTTGTGACTCCGGTGTAGTTTCCCCAATAAGAAAACTACCAAGTACGGGTAGAGATACAAAATTCAGGTGATCATGGACTTTACATCTCACAGCAAAAATCACCCAAAAACCGCTGGTAAAAAGTACGCCAGCGCTCGACCCTTCTGTCCTGCTGCTCAGGCCAAGAGGAGTACAACTCCCGGTAAAACTGTCTTATATCCTACTAAAGTCCGCCCTTTACCACACCGGCGCCGACTATACTCACACTATTCTCCCAAAAAACTAACCGTTGGCATTCCTTGGCGGCCAAAGGCCTGTGAAATTTACCAACTGCATAAAAAGATTTTTTGACTAGGAAATAAAATTAAAATTCAAAAAAAAGAAAACAAGTGAAAACATGCGAAAAAAACAAGCGAAAAAAACAACATCATTCACACCTATCAGCCTCCAACTCGGGACCATCCTCCAGGACCCTTGCTTTCTTCTTTTCCTTTTCGACCCGGCCAGTTGGGCGGCTGAGCTTCCCCCCGTTCGACCTGGATGGTCACTTGCCGCCGCAGGCCCCACGCCACCCACTTCATCTCCACTTCTTACTCCCCCCTCCCACCCATTCCAATAGTTTCCCGGTCATTTCCCGCCAGAACTCAGTCCCCTTCCGTCTGGCCATCTTTTTTATCCATGCTTCAAATGTTTCTAGCGGGTAAGCAATCACCCTCAACCCTTTCAGAAAAGTTACCAAGCCCCACCACAGCGAGAAATTTGTATTTGAATTATCTACGATCCGACAAATGCAGTTCGAGACTATCCCATACTTCTGGATCAAAGGAGCAAAAGAGTCAAAACTCCTCAAAGTCTTGTAGTGACCCTTCCTTCCTTCCCAAACGGCGTCCAGATTCTTCACCTTGTGAAAACTATATATCCATGCGGGTGTTGCCGTGGCAACCAACCTGGTCTCCAGAAACTCAACAAATTGATTTCCCATGTCGGTCCTTTTTAACAGAAGGTCTTTATGGTAGCAGTTCCCAATTTTATCCAAAGTCTGATTCAGCACCTCTTCTCCTTCTCTCTCCTTCGCATCGTACCACCCAACCAAAAGCAGATCATCAACGAACTGACTTCCATCAATGTACCTCGCATCTGCCGCCAAAGACATAATAAACCGCTGTTCTTCGAAAATGCAGAGAACATTGGCTAGAGGTGGGCTCGCCCTACCTCCCATAGGAATCCCGGTGGTTTGTCTGAATATCTGCGCCTTTGAATAGAAGAAGGTGTTGTCCAGTTGGAATCTCGCCAAAGTTATCAGGTCAGTTAATCTCATAGATTCCCAACCCTCTTCTCCATGCGATTTCCCAAATGTTGCCTTCTTCCCCCTGGTCTTGAGCCTTATCCATTGATGCCCCTTATCCCGAAAATACTCAACCAACCACTCCAGGGCCTTAATTATCTCGTCGTGAGGCAGCTTAGTGAACATCTCTTTTACATCATACGTTCTCATCAGAAATCTACAATCCAACCCCCATTTCTGATTAGCAGATTCATTTGCTCTCAACAGCTTCTCCTGCAGATGCTTAGCCCCCGTGATGTTGAAGTGCCTCACCTTCAACCTTTTTATGAGGAAGTTCAGGCTTTGTGCAAGGTAACCCATTGCACAACGGGTGGGGCTCAAAAAGGAAGGCACTATAGGTCTCTTCTTCGTTAGGTCCTTGTCCTTTGACAGAATGTACGCATGCTGCAGCCTCCCTTTATTGTCCCACTTTGCCACCCTCCCCAGTTTCAGAGCCTTATACTGCAGTCTCATCCCAGTTAAAACTTCTTCCAAACCTATCACATACTCTGTGTCACATCCAATATTGTGCAGATTTCCTTTCACAGAAATTTCTTTCCACTCCACCTGCATTCTTTCATCATGTCTCAGCACACCCATTTTTTTCAATGGTTCAAGCGCATCGTTGCAAGTCATATTAACCTCTCTCCTGGTGAGTAGGCTTCCAGGATGCGGTATATTCCTTGAATTCTTCACAAAGTCACGAATTCCCTCAATGTTGTCCAGTCTAACCTGAACATGCCCATTTTTCCTGGGCAAGTCAAAACCTTTGCAAGCGCAGGTCTGACCACTTCGTCTTGCAAAACGCTGGTGATTATGCAATAGATCCCGACAGATTTCTTCTTCTGCCAAACGGTTCTCATTCTGCCAATCAACAGGTTAGATAAACACATTGGTGAAATCCTCCCCCTCATCCATTCCTTAGCGACCGCATGTACTTTATTCTTGCTCACAGAATCACAGAAGGGGAGTTTGATTGTGATCCTATGTCTAGGATTTATACCAAACACCTTTTTTGTGACTCTCGTGATAATGCCCCTTACAATTTGCCTCCCTATTGCAGTATTTAGCATTTTAATTCCCGTGTTTAATTCAACGAGTTCTTCCAACTTTTTTTTTGTACAAATTCTTTCTCTTCCAAGGGGCCCTGAGTATCGTGATTACTTCAGCCTTAGCAATTTCTGATTTATTCTTTGTTTTCCGAATCTCGGTTATCAGCTATTCACCACCCTCTTGGATGAGATGCTTTACATCCTTCAATTGGTGAGTCTGGCCAGATATCTCGACCTTACTATATCCATATAGGAGCCTCACCAACCTCCATGCTTTCAACCAATGCTCTCCCTTCCTATTTACAATCCTCAATTTTCCTTTGTTTTTCCCAAGTTTCAAAATTTTCAAGAGGTCTGGCTCGGATAGTATCCCGAGCTGTTCACATTAAAACAACAGAGCATCTTTATAGGAAGTTCCACCCCCTCCACCATTTATCGTCTTCCTAGGCTTTCTTTTCAACGGTTTGTTATTAGCCTTCCTCAGATTTAGACCTGGGTTCATACTCCCAATTACAAACTTTTCCATACTCACAAGCGAATTCTTATCCCCAAACCATAGTGGCAATGCCACATAGTTACCACTACCAACTTTGCTCAACCATCTGTGTATTTTCTGTTTTGGCCCACCATTAGCGGCACGGACATGCTCCAACCATCTGGTTTTAAGGTCTCTTTCGGTTTTCCCTATGTAAGTAAGCCTGAAGAAAGGTGAAATTAAAAGGTAAACACATTTCTTTCCATCCAACAAACTCGACCATTCCCCCGGTTCCAAACTCAACCAATACTTTAGGAATGGTCTTCCCCACTTTATGTCACCCCTCAAACACAATGTCAAGACAAACAACTTGAGTAAAACCCCGATCGCATGCCTGATCGTCCCATTCGGATGGTTGGCCCGTCCCGCTAATTTCTTACATGCTCTTAACAGCGACCGTTTGGTCGCATCCCTTAGTTTCCCGCTATATCATCTTGCTGGGTTCCTTCTTCCGAACTGGAGCTGCTGTCCGTATCATTTGCTTCTTCTTCACTCTCCTTTTCCACACTTGCCTCCTCCTTCTCTTCCGGAGCATCCATCTTCAGCAGGACCTCAAAGTCCAATCTGGCCAGCTCCCACACCCCTGCTTCCTTTCGCCTGTACGGTATACCCTTCTTTTTACACAGTTCCTGTATCTCTGTATAGTGCATAGCATCATAATAGATGACCCGGTCCTTGAAGTACAGTCCCAAAGATCCTTCTTCTCTCTCCCTCCCTTTCTCACTTGTCCCTAATTTCTCACCAGAGTCTCTCTTCTCACCATTTTGCTGCAGCTGCCCACTTCCTATCACCCCGTTTTCAGTTTCCTGCTCTGCTCCCGCATTACTACTACTAGCATCTCGCCCTTTTGCTGCCAGCAGTTCCTTAATCAGTTCCCTAAGTTCGGACACCTCCTTATCCCCCAAGTTGAACCTTCCATCTTCCTGCTCAGGTTTTGTACGACGGCATCCTTCTCCTTCCCTTCCTCATCTGATGAAACCTCAACTGGCTTCGTGTTCTCCCCCTTTCCTCCTTTCTTCAGCAGACCAGACCGGGATCTACTCTTCCCTCTCCTCAATTTTGTCGGGGACACTGTCTCTCTTTTCCTCTTTTCTGAGCTTGAATTCTCCCTCAATTCTCTCAACTCCTTTTCAGCCCGCAGTATTTTCAACTCTTCCAACTCAGCATCTCTCAGTTTGGATTTCCTCTCTACCTCATCCATCTTTTCCGATAGAATCCTCAGTGACCCTCCGAAGTTCGATGCTACCCATTTCTTCATCGCATCTTCCTTTCCTTCGTCTGCAACTTTCTCCTTCCCCTTGTCCTTCCCAACTTGCTTCTTGCTCATCCCCTTCTTGTCTCCTTGAGCTCTCTCTATTTCCACTTCTTTCTCTTTTCCTTTTGCTTTTGGCTTTTCAATCTCCCAACCCAGTCCTTTTAACCGCGTAATTTCTTCCAAGTCTTTCTTCCGCGCCTCCTCCACGACATCCTTCAGTTTTAACTTCTCGATGAAGTCAGCATGCTCACGAGTAAAGAAAGCACGTGGCTGATACCCTCCATTTCCCCTTCCATAACCGTTATTGAATTGCCCACCCCCTTGCGCTAGCGCTGAGTTTGATCCGGCGTACGTCCAAGGACCTTGGGCTGGAGCAGGTGCCACGCTCTGTGCCATGGGGGCAAAGCCAAACGGGGGTGTAACAGCCGGGAAAGGCTGCTGATAAAACCCTCCATGAGGTTGGAAAGGGGGAAACGGCAGGGCAGCCGCTACGGGGTAGGGAGGCACAGGCGGTTGAACTTGAGGAGGTGGTTGCGGGACGGAGTTCTCCATCCAGTACCTACCACAGTTCGACCACCTGCCCCGCCCCCTTCCCCTACCTTGCGCACGCATACGTCAGCTCGTCGTTCCACGTTCCCTGAGTAATATAAAATAAAATAAAATAAAATATACACCTCGATGAGTACAGGAAAAGGCCTAAAACGCCACCTTATCCCAATACGAGATGTGCGCATATATATATATATATATATATAGCAGTTGCAGGCCACTCCTCCAACCTCAACCCCATCCAATTACTACCTTATCAACAGAACACCCCTTTGACAGTGGGACGAGCTAAACCCCTGATCATCACCGAAGAGAAACAACGAGCCGCGGGATGAGCCGGCTCATCAAGCAAAGCACGCTGGTCAAGCCCAATGGGATCGCCTATCAGTGAACAAAACTCCATATCATTGAAAATGCCCAACTCCCCTCATCGCTCCGTTGCACATGTCACCGAAAAAACAAATATGCGCCAAAACAGTTGAGCAATCGCCTCAACGCTCCACCAAAGTAGCCACGTCAGCACATCCGTAGCCAATGTCATCAAAAACAGGTCTAGCCAACGTCATAAAAAAAACTGCGCGAGGAAGCAGCTGATGTCAGCATATATACGCGCCGATTCCACTACATCACTCGCCCAACGGTCCACTGTGCGAGGAAGCAGCTGATGTCAGCATATCCATCCTCGTCTTGCCAAATAACCCAGCGAGTTTCCCTACGCTCTCCACTCAGTCTCGTGCGTCCCGAACACGCGGGATGGACATGCCAAAAGTAGCAGGTTGCTCCGGTGTCTAGCTCAGGTCATCGCCAAGAATCAAGCACAGGTGAAGGCGATGGTTGGCCACATACAGGCTAATAGATGCAAACGAGTTCTGGAGGCAATCAAGCACTGGCGAAAAGAAAAGAAAAGAGAGAGAAAAGAAAAGAAAAGAAAAGAAAAGAAAAGAAATGAAGATGCTCGCCAAATACCCAGAAAGGTATTGGTGGCGCTGCTAGATCGCTCCCAAGCTCCCTGCAAGGTCGATCTCACAGCTCCGTTGCACAGATACAAAATTCAGGTGATCATGGACTTCACATCTCACAGCAAAAATCACCCAAAAACCGCTGGTAAAAAGTACGCCAGCGCTCGACCCTTCTGTCCTGCCGCTCAGGCCAAGAGGAGTACAACTCCCGGTAAAACTGTCTTATATCCTACTAAAGTCCGCCCTTTACCACACCGGCGCCGACTATACTCACGCTATTCTCCCAAAAAACAAACCGTTGGCATTCCTTGGCGGCCAAAGGCCTGTGAAATTTACCAACTGCTCTGGTGCTCTTATCATCTGCGTGAATAGGGCCCTCGCGGATGATTCGGAAGGGGAAAAAAAAAAAAAAGAAGTAGAAAGAAGAAGGAAAGAAGAAGAAGAAGAATGAAGGAGAAGAAGAAGAAGAAGAAGACACAACAACCAGCCCCCAAACCCACCCTTCGCAGTCTGAACCAGGTCTTCTGCCATTCGGACCTAAAACCTAACTCTGTTGAAACTTTAAGGAGATCCGGAGGTAGTAAGTAGATTGAGATATGGCGCCCACAACAAATGGCCATGGCGGATCTTCAAGATTCCCAGCTTCAATGGAAGAAGTGGAGGATGGATGAGCACAAATGGCCTCTCAAACCTTACTCTCACTTCTCGATCCCTTATGCTGCAAGCTGCAAATCCCCCCTCTTTTGTTCTCCTCCTGGGATGAACACGTGAGTGAGGCACCATCACCCTCCCCCCTCCCCCTGGCCCCCCGCGCCCTCCTTCTTTCCCCTCTCCTCGTATCTTCGCCACCTCTTCCTATCATCCGGACCCCCTACTCAACGACCAGCGATGCCACGATAGGCGGGATACCCGGGGAGGAGATCTGAAGCTGGAAGGGGGCCGTGGTGGTGCCTCGGGCCACAACGATGAAGACGACGACTCGACACACCAGGGGGCGGGACCAGGATCCTGAGTCAGGAGGACAGGGTTCAGAATGGAGGCTTACACGGTAGGAGTCGTGACCGGGGCAAATGGAGAGGGGAGAGTGGAGCTGTGCTGCCCAGACCTGCATACAGAGATTCATGTAGGGCTTATGCAAGGCCTTGTTTTGCACTCTTGCAAACGCAAGCATGCATGGACAACAGGGGAGGGGTTGGCAGCGCTTAAAGAGTATGGACAGAGATTGGAGACCAAAAGATGGGGTGGAGATAGGGGGCAGCGGGGCCTTGTGCTAACCACAGGGTTTATGGCAGGGTTGAGGCAAGGGTCTTGCACTACTACGAAACAAAGCATGCATGGATGGAATACAGCCCTGGGCTACACACAGGGTCAGCGGCATGTTCTAAAGCAAGGTTCTGCCCCGCTATGGAGAATGCACGCACGGACAAGGAAAGGAGGCAGGTTGGATACAAGCGAGGATGGTCCAACACTAAGCTTGAGGGAATGAGCGACGCGAGTGCACAGTTTCAGGGAGGGTTTAGGGTTTAAAAAAGGTTTAAAAAGGTTAAACAGGGAGGGATTGAGGGAGGGGTGTGTATGGTTTCAGGGAGGGTTTACGTTTAAAAGGTTTAAAAGGGTTTAAAAAGAGACAACACATAGAAACAATAAACAGGGGGGCTGCACAACAGGGCTAGTGTTATCAGAAAAAAGGGTTACTCTGACATGGGATGGGAGATTTTTGCAGCTCCAGGGAAAAGGAAGGAAGCCCCGGGTTGAGAACAGAATCGCTCACAGCCCTATGAAAACAAACATCAAACTCTGTGCCACAAGATGTTCAAAGGGACGCTGGGCCCAGTTTCCAGCAGGTGTAGCTTCCCACCAATAGATGGAGCAGCCCGTCAGGTAAACCCTCAATCCTGGCGGTTCTCTCACCACCGCCGAGATAGAGGGCTTACAAAGGGTTAAAAAAAAAAAAAAAAAAAGGGTGAAAACGTGAGAGAAGGGGGGGGACAGATGTTCTTACTCTCTACCATGTTGTGCCAGTATTCCAAGTATGTATGAGGGGCGCTGGCCCCAGTTTCCAGCAGGTGCAGCCCCCCACCAATAGATGGATGGAGTGACCTTTCAGGGTATAGTAGGAAGGGGATGCTCTTATCACCCTTCCTATTAGATCCTGCTGAGTGTTATTAAATAATAATAATAATAATAATAATAATAATAATAATAATAATAATTTAAAAAAAGAAGCACTGGGGAGTTGAGCAGGAATCCGCGGATCCTTTTCACCGAGCTCGAAACTGGACTGCCTGCACCACTGTTTGCCACCCACACGTGGTTGAAAACCTCACGATGTTCATACAACACGGTGCGAGTGGGGCCCGGTCCCAGGAAGCAGAAACCAACATCCTGATCCAAGCTCCGTTCTTTTTTTTTTTTTTCTCCGTTCTACCAACCGACTCCATGGAGGTCTAATCGGAACCTCATCATGAAATCAACAGAGAGAAGCAACAGCCAAGAGAGCACAAACTCCTCCCTTTTCCTTTTGCACCGGGAATTGGGCCCAGCGTCCCAGAGTACACTTGCAGGTCACTCGCCATCTCGTGCGGGAGGAGCCACTGCATCATTGATGTCCCTGGGGAAGTCAGAGGGACCACCACTGCCAGTGCTCCTGTGAAGGATGAAAAATGAAAGCCTGCCTCTTCAGCCCTTTTTTTTTTTCTTTTTTTTTTCTTTTTTTTTAACATACCCCCGCCAGTGTTACTGGTGCTGATAAGAGCAGTCACCACTAGCACCTGGGGAGAAGCTCCAATCTATCGGTGGGGAGCATCACCTGCTGGAAAACGGGTCCAGCGTCCCTTGTACAAAAATGGAATTTGTAGGGCTGCAAGAAAGAAACTTCAAATGTCTAACAATGCTTTCTATGGATCCATTTGGCTGTCTGAACCCGCTTGCGCTCGTCAGCACAAACCTATCCATTCTCTTCATATCGCCAGTATGGGACGCTGGACCCGGTTTCCAGCACTTCGGCGTCACTCTCATTGATGTACTGTGTGGCAAAGATGTATTTATGGGACGCTGGACCCGGTTTCCAGCACGTGTTGCTCCCCACCAATAGATGGAGCGGCCCGCTAGGCAAAGCCTCAATCCCGGTGGTTCTCTTACCACCACCAGGATAGAGGTCTTGCACAAGGGCCTTTCAAAAAAAAAAAAAAAAAAAAAAAAAATCATTCACCAGCCCTTTTCAACCTGATCCGATTGGCAATGTTGTACAAATTAAGCCTAATGGAGAGGTACTTCTATCTCTATTTAGGTTGCCTCAAGACAAAAATGGAGTCATTCCAAACCCCGCACAGGAATATAGGGGCTCGTCAGACACTCCTTACGGTTTCCTTGAGCCACAAGGAAACGTCCTTGTGGATTTTTAGGGGAATTTGCGGCGTCGTTCCACTCATCCTCGGGGACGTTCCCCGAGGATGTTTCCTTGTGGCTTTCCCGCGGCCAGTTTCATATGTAAATTAGCGGCCGCGGGGTCGGACGTCCTTGGTCCAGCTTCTTTTGTCCGTGTGGAAGCGGCGTGGTCCAGCGACGCAAGGCGGGAAACGGCGGACGTCAGCCGACGCGAAAAGAAATTAAACCCCAAGGGCGTGGGCATTTCAAATTCAAAATTCGAACTAGCGCTGCGACGACGACGACGACGTGTGCCTGGCGGCGCGAGGGTGGCGTGCTGCGGGAAGTGGCTGAGCAGCGGCGGAGGTTCCGTCCCCAGGCCGTTGCGACTGCGCGGGCAGCGTTCGACACTTCCATCGCCGTGGACCTTTGCACGCGTCGACTGCGCGTTGCTCCTCTTCGCTGTTCGCGGGACTGTCGACATAGAAAAGGGGCCGCCTTTCGTCGGACGTCTTCGACTTCTTCGACGCGTGCGGAAGTATGACACAGCCGGCAGCGGAACGACGGGACCGTTTCGACGTCGCGGCTATGGAGGGCGGCGCAGAGGGTAGACGTGATCCGTTGAGTCGTCGTGAGCTGCAGGYWGTGGCGGYGGCTGTGTCCACGATCGTTCTTCGATGTCAGCAGGAGAGGGCGCTGGGGCGACTGAAGGACCAGTTGCGTGCGCGTAGAYGGAGGAAATTGACGCAAGATCCGTTCGATGGGGCCGATTACGTGGYGACGTCGGAGGCTGTTGTTCAGYTGTGCTACGCGYTCGGTTGCGGAGTGATACCACGTGCGACGCCGCGGTGGTGGGTGAAGCGCAGGACAGGAGGCACGTGGGAAGATTTGAGGCAATGCGACAATGCGATAGACGACTACTTTCGGGATAAGCTTCGAATGTCGCCGCGAGTGTTCAGGGAAATCGCGGAGGCGTGTGCGCCTCATCTTCAGCGGCGGGTCACGTTCTACAGGGAGCCTTTGCAGCCGGACCACATTTTGATTGCCGTCCGCGACGTTACTGCCGCGCTGCTAAGAGTCTTCGGAGAGAAGATCGCGTGGCCGACGGGACTTCGTAAACTCGTCGTTCTGCGGGCGTTTGCTGATAAAGGGTTCCCCAACTGTCACGGTTGCATTGATTGCACTCACGTCTACTCGACAAGCCGGCGAACGCTCCTAGCGAGAACTACTACGACAGGAAGCGCCGTTTCTCCATCGTCGTGCAGGTTGTCGTCGACCTGGACTTGCGTGTGCTCGACGTGCACATGGGATACCCAGGAAGCTGCCACGACATCAGAGTGCTGCAGTTGTCCAGCCTATCGCAGCGCGCAGAGGAGGGGTCGTTGTTCCGTGGTCCCCCCGTCACACTGTCGTTCGGTGTGAAGACGAACGGGTACGTTCTGGCGGATAATGGATACCCCCCTTCCGAATGGATGGTGTCCCATATGGAGGTATCAATCAACATGTCGACGAGGAGCGGTTCGACGACAAACAGAAGGTGGCGAGGGGAGCGGTGGAGAGGGCGTTCGGCAGGCTGAAGGGCATGTGGCGGCTGTTTCTGCGGACACACAAGACAAACCTGGACACACTCCCGCAGCAGTTCACCGCCGTCTGCATACTGCACAACATGCTGATCGACGCAGGAATCCCCTTCGACGAGAATCTGTTGTGGGAGGTCGATGCGAATGGTGTGCGACGACGTGTGGACCTGGGGATTGAACAGCCCCTCCATCCTATTTCGATGTTGACGTCGACAGACGAAGCGTTGGCGTTGAGGGATGCTTTGGCGGAAAGATTGAAACACGAGTGAGTCGTGTTTCTTTTGTGGACGGAAGCTCGTGGAAGTGCATTCATTGCACCAATGGGCGGAGGGCAGAATCCTTGTTCCGTCTTGCTTTATTGGGTCGCTGTCGTTTGTTGCCCGTCGGGGTTGGTGGTTTGAGTGGAGGGTCGTGTTCCCCTTGCTGGACGGCCGCGCGTGGGAGCGCGTTCACTGCAGTGGCCGGAGGGCAGATCAGTCGTTCCGTCCAGCCTTGATTGCGTTGCTGGCTTTTGTCCTGAGTCGGGTTCGTTGTTTGCGTCGAGGGTCGTCTTGGTTTGCCGTCGCGGTTCGCGGACGTGCATCACTGTCCTTTTTAGATTCTTGTTCTTTTTTTTTTAAGAGTACACTTGTCGCCGTTGGGGTTGTGCAGTGCGGAGTCGGTGCACTTCGGGTGCGAAGTGCGGCGATTGTTTGCCACGAAGGATAGAGTAGTGTTCGTGATTCAGGTGGGCGTGGAACTTCTCCCCCACCTACCTTCGATTTTGAACTATGAACTATGAATTTTTTAACGACATTGCAAATCCCTTTCTAAGTATGCATCGTCCATTTCCGTTGCATGTCGGCGGTGTGTATGTGTGTGTGTGTGTATGTCATTGCGTCTATATTGTGTGTTGCTTTTTCTTTGCATTCATTCTCTGTGCCATTGCATATTCATGGTATGTTTTCTGGGATATTTCATGCAGTTTGATGCGCTGCGCTATGTCTTCATGCGAGTGTTGGAGTGGAACACAAACACATGTTTAGTTCACATGTTTTGTTTGTCAATCGGAGTAAGAGGGGGAGGGGAAAAAGAAATAAAGCAAACAAAGCAATGAGCGACGATGGCACATGCAAATGGAGAAGAGTGGTCTAAATATGCATCCAAGAAACACAACTTGTTGATCTTAAAACTGACGATCCGTCGATCTAATTTCAAACAATGCGAAAACGAAATGGTGACCAAACAAAGCGAGCGCAGATCTTAAAACTGACGAAATATCGTTCTGTATTCAAATTTTACAAAAAAAAAAAAAAGGGGACGCCTCAAGCGCAATCAACTTATCTCGCCACAAGTTGCGCCGACTACAACATAACACAACATCGAACAAAGGTGCACAGCACGTACAATCTACCGAAGGGACCCCCTACTGCCATCGCTTGTCCACCATCGGCAGCGAAACAACATCAATGTCCACAAGCAACCACGAACGCAGTTGTGTCACACACCCAACCGAAGCGCACGTCCGAAAAAGTCGGGCGGCTGCATGTGCGAGCGACACGGTGCACACGTGCGGAATGAAGGAGGATGCCATCAACAATCCGTCATCGTTACATGACGACACCAGAACTTCGTCTTCGACGCCGTCTCGACCTGCCCCCTCTCCGCTTCCCTTGCACTCGCCGGAAAAAAAAACCCGTTCGCGCACCCTCTCCCGTGCTGCACGTGTAAGCACCGACGATACCCTCTACCTCCCGACCGCCCCCCCTACGCGTCCTCTTTCGCGTCATCGTCGTCGTCGTCGTCCTCCAAGGGGCCGAAACCTAACCAATCTCTCCTCTTCACGTCCTCTGGCCCCGTTATGCTCGCATCTTGCCCAAAGACGATGCCGCAGGAAGCCCATTCGGGGATGTACTTCGGGTACTCTCCGAGTGTTGCGTTTGCCTTCCCCAGTCTCTCTGTGACGTTCGTGGCTCGGATGATGGATCGCCGATGATTGAAAGTGCGATGAATGAACGCGACGAGCGTGGGCTTCGCAACGAGCTTTGCGAAGTAAAAAACTTCGTAGTGGCTACGCGCATCATCTCCCGCCATGCGCATCAACCACATGCAAGCAGCCAACATCAATCTGAAGCAATCCGCTATTCTAGACAGACGCTTGTGCGAGATGAAACCACCGTCGACGATGCCACCAATTTGCACCGCGGAGCGAAACGCACGGTTGACTCCTGGTGCGCCGCCATGTCGTCGTCTTCCGGCCTGTCTTCGATGTTTGTGCCCGCGAACCACAAAGGCATGTCCATGTTCAGGTCGATTGTGTGCGTGCAAACGGGCGCGCTAACGACGTTACTCCACTCCTCGCCGTTCCACATGATGCGCGCAATGTCCGTCGCCACCGACTCCAACGCATACTGGAAAGCGACATTGAATCCTCGGGGACGGTTCTCAGACTTGAAGACCCATCTATGCAAGACGCGCAGAGCGATATTCTCCGCTGTCGTCGCGCGGGCGATCGCCCGCTGCAGTTGTGCGGGATCCGCAATCCTTGTGACGGTCGTCGACGATTTCGGCATGACGACGCTCCTGGGCAAGGGGGGCGTTTGCATTCCGCTGGCGATGGTGACAAAGTACTCCCGCGTTTCGTGGACGATGTTGTACAGCCTTCGCCCCTCCCCCGTCGTCCAGAATGCTTTGTCATCGACCCACAGGCGGGCACGGTCGGCCACATCTCTCGCCAATCCTCCCCTCCGGACCCGGCTTAGAAGGGGGTCTTCATCCTCCCTTTCACCCTTGTTGTCGATGCGCGTCGCCTCCCGCTCCACAACTGGGACCTCTTCTCTCGCCCTCGCCACGACACCAACATTGCCTGATGACCCCGCGGCTGCAGCAGCGATGGCAACCCCACCCTCCACGCGCGCTTCTTGTTGGGCCCCATCCCTCCCCCGCGTTCCATGGAGCCCTCCTCCGCAGCGTGTTGCGCGGTTGCGGCTGGGACGGCATCAAGGGCAGGCCACCCTGAGGTGGCCTTTCTTCAGTCGCGGCGCGTATCCTGACTGCCGTCGCAGTGCCACCTTGTGTCACATTGCGTTGTCTACGGCTCTCCAACGGCTCGTCGTCCTCGCCGCCGACATCGACGACAACCTCCTTCGCCTTCTGGGTGTTGTGCGCACGAACTTGTTGTGCCTCCGGAGGGGGCGTCGCTAATCTTCTCGCACCGCTCTGATCACCTGACCGTTGAAGAGTGCTTCCCCGAGTTGCCGTCACGTTCTCCTCTGCTGCTTCCTCCTCCGTCGTAAACACGTCGTCATCTTCTTCCTCGTTGGCTGCCGTGCAAGTTCGCCCTCGTCGAGGAGGGAGGCTAGCTGATGGTTCTTCTGAACGGAGCCTCTTCGCCTTTGGGACATGCCGCCGACCCCTTTCCCGCCCCTACGTGTCCACGGGGATGTTTTCCCGCTTCTTCCCATGGGCGCCGCCTCGCGTAGACATACCTCCCGCCTCCGTCAATGACCGTTTGTGGCTACGCCTTTCTTCGCGTCCACGACGAACAAGCGCCTTTGCCGCCCTGGGGAGCAATTCGTCCTCGCCCTCGCCACGCACAGTACGTCCACGTCGACGCGAACGCGAGAAGGATATGAACCATGCAGACACTTCTCCGCGGTCCGATGAAGAACTCCGCGAGTAAGCGACGACGGACCTCCGAAGGGGCGATACGTATCCGCGGCTAGAAGGATCCACGGCGAGAAGGAGAGCGACGGGATCCAGAGCGACGATCGATGACGACACCGATGAAGTCCCGCGCGTGAAGGAGACGTAGGCAGCGTACACCGCTCCGCGGCGAGAAGAAGATCTTGGCGACTGATGGACGGCGGACCTCTGAAGGCGCGATGCGGATCCGCGGCAAGAGGGTTCCGCGGCAAGAAGGAGATCGAAAAGATCCACAGCGAAGAAACGACGACGCCGAAGACAACCAAGCCGACGACGACTGCGAAGAAACGAGCGACTTCGTGGTCCCTTTGTGCTGCGACGACGAGGAGAGAAGGAAGATGGCGTCCTGCCTGGATGTCGTCGCTGTGCACCGTGTGTGCAGACCTTTAATGCAGGAGACGGCGCAAGCGGAAGACCTTTATGGTGGACGACGGGTCGATGCACCGAAAGCGTGGAGCAAACGGACGGGCCCCGACGACGATTCCTCGCCTGCCGTCATCGTCGACAGCGACACGTGTGACAGCAACTCTGCAGACCTCCCTCGCGCGCACTCCCTTAAACTTTTGCCACCCCCAGGCGAGAGAGGGGGCGCCACAGACCCATTCCACGCGTCCTGGCTCGGCGCGTCCATACACTCTCTACGGGCCGATATGGCTTCCTTAAAAAAATACCCGCACACAAACACCCACCCCACCCCTAAAAAAAGAAGAACACCGAAACCCAACCTCCCCCCCCCTCCCCCCCCCCCCCCGGCGCGCAAATTCCTGGACACGAACGATGACACCCCCGTCCACCGCAATCGTCGAACCCCGTAACCCCTCCAACAACTGGCCCTCTCGCTGTGGAGATCGCGAACGCAGCACCTACTACTGTCCTCGAAAACGAAGCGCAACAACTAAAAAAAAACAAACAAACAGATTCTAAAAAAGATGTTGCTGACCATACCACACACACACACACACACACACACACACACACACGTCGCCATCTCCTCAGGCGCAACGACAGGAGAGAGGCTAGGAAAGCAACGGTGGACATTACAGATTCTAGATAGAATACCTTTCTCGGCCTTTTGGATAAGATAAAGTGTAGTATCTGTTCTGATCAGTTTAATATCTGATCCGTGGTCCATCGGGCCACAAAAAAACAAACAAACAAAAAAACAAAAAAACAAACAAACAGATTCTAAAAAAGATGTTGCTGACCATACCACACACACACACACACACACACACACACACACGTCGCCATCTCCTCAGGCGCAACGACAGGAGAGAGGCTAGGAAAGCAACGGTGGACATTACAGGCAGCATCAGTCATGATCTCTCGCGGATGGCTTTTACTATCTCCATAAGGGCTTGGCACATCATTCTGTTCGCCTCGTTCGCCGCAGCATAATGTTTCCTCTGCACTTCCACTTCGCTCTCCAGGATTTCGCACTGACGTGACATCATCGAGCATTGCCGCTTGCTCGCGCTGTCCATTGTGTTCGCCATAAGCGCACCATGCTTTTCCATGACGTCGGCGACGGCCTCAAAGGTTTGTTGCCGCATGTTCTTCCTCTTCCCATAGCCGCCACCGCTCCCCGCGCTGAATGTGGAGTCTCTCGTCGACCCCTGCTCCTCATCGGCTGCGTCCCCTCCACCCTCACTGCCCATGGTGTCACCTGCAGCCCCAGCGGCTGCCGGCATCTAAACCCCACCGGCCGCCCCCGTGTCCGCCAAAATTTTCGGGTGGATCGTGTGATCCCCCTTCGTCATGGCCTCCATTTCGTCGTACACGCTCCAGTCCATGACGAAGCTGAAGCCCTCCGACCGCCTCTCCTTCGATGCAAGCTTGAAGTAGTCTTTCCCGTCGGAGAGGTTCTGGAACTTGTGGACCTTCTTGAATTGCTGCATCAAGTTGTCCCATTTCTTCCCGCAGTCGACGGCATCCCTCGTCACGCCCATCGACTGCAACCTCGCCCGCACGTCCTCCCACTTCCACTCCCTCGTTTTCATGCGGGCGAAACTAGTGCCCATGCCGGCGATATACAGATCTTGGTCCCTTCTTGCCCTGACGAGTGCGATCGTGTCTCCCACCGACCAGAAATTCCGGCCGCCCTCGCCATCACTCCGGCCCGTGTCGTCATCCATTTTCTTATTCCGTCGACTCTTTGCAGCGGGAACCTGCCTCGCAGTCGCTCCGCCCTTCGTCGCTTTCCTCCCCAGCGGCCTTATGTCTGGCAAATCGTCGGAGTTGCAATCGTCATCACAGTCAACGTCGTCACACCCCCGGGCCTCCCCAGCAGCAGCTTCGTCCCCTTCGTCCACGTGGAGCCGTTGCACCCCTCTTGTGATTGTCTCCGTTCCACGTTGATGCAAGGCCTGCCTGCACTCTACACACAGCTGCCTGCCGTCGCGCTGTACGTCCGCACCTTCCTGATGCAAGACCTCTGGCCACTGCCGTGCACAAGGAGCGCCGGATCCGCTCCGCAACGAAGGTGACAACCGCATCCACTCTGGACGTTCACGCGCACCGACTCCTCCGCCGATGGACGACGTGGACTCGTTCCGTTTACCGCCACCTTCACGAAGCGATTGAGGGAGACCACCGTCTCGCGGCCCGCACACACCGCCATGCGTGTTGTCCGCGCAATCCACACCCGGGTGGGGATTGATGATCCGAGTGTGCGTTGCCGCTGCTCCGCTGCTGCTGGACAACTGGAAGCTCAGATCAACCGCTGCATTGTCGTCGTCGTCGCACAMCCCCTCGTTGAGCAGCGACGTGTAAGTCCACGGGGTCTCCACCCGCCCGCCTCTGCACGACTCCGTCGCCGCCCATTCCTGCGTAGACCCACTTCCCAACGGCAAAGTCGACGACCTTGCGTCTCCCCCCTCGTCATCCGACAGCGGCAGAGGAATCTCGTGAGAAGGCAGGCCTGCATACAACCTCGGGTCGTACGGCCGCTTCGCCACAGAACCCGCACTGTGTTGGCGATTGCTCGCTCCGGAGGTTGTGCCTGCCGGTCTGCCGTTGCCTAGTCGTCGATCCATACTGTGGGCTTTCGTCGTAGATCTCCTTCTGCGAGCCGCGATCGGGACGAGGCCGACGAAACACACGTGGAAGAAGACAACGAGGAGAAGCAGCACGACGACGAGGACCAGCAGAGGCAGCCTGTGCAGCAGGTCGGCCATGTAAGGGCCGTTCAAAGGGCTGCAGTGTGACGTCGGCGGTCGACCGTTCAACAAAGAAGCCCGTCGACAGAAGAGAGATCGGTGAAAGTTCTGTGCTCCAACGTGCGAGGCGTGACTACAATCGAAGAAAACGACGATCATGTCCAATGAGACTGTCGCCGTCCGAAAGGCGCCCGGTGGGAAAAGCATTCGAATTTTCGACCGTTGTCGACGATCGCCCGCCGCAGCAGATCGTAGTGGACGCCGGCCGACATTTCGCGTCGACTGACGGAGGCCTCCCGACGCCGGTGACCGTTTGGAGCCGTTGGGGCGCCCTGCACATTTTGGACGCAGGGATGTCCGTGCTCCGGTTCGCTGGACCACGACTGGACCATCCTTGAACCGAAATTGATCGTCGACGCATGCCCTCGCCGCTCCGAAATTCGCGCTTCCTTGTGCTACGAGGGACCTCGGGAGGTCCCATGGGGCTAAGGAAAAATTGGCTGTGGCCACAAGGACGCCACAAGGAAATCTCCTTCTGGTGTTTTCACATTTTTTTTCGAGAATCGTCCTCCAGGACAGGTGGAACGATCATTTCCTTGTGGATTTCGGGTCCCCAAGGAGTGTCTAACGAGGCCCATAGATGGGTAAGGAAACACCTGATTTTCAGAATCAGAGTATTAAAACGGAAATTCACGTGGCTGGCATTCAGACCTCACACTCCCATCTCTAACCTTGCACTTCTTGACGCAATCAACTACGTACACATGGACCTCTCGGGGGGGCAAGGGTTGGGTGTGTAAGAGGGCTCTTCACACACTAACCGTTAAATCTACGTATAGGATGTGGAGAAGCAGAAGAGGAAGAAAGAAAAAACAAGGAAAAAGACGATGTGAGAGGAGCACAGGTCGACAGCAGACGTGAGGGAAGGTCGACACCGGCTTACCTTACTTCTGTTGCCGACCTGTACTTCTCTCACATCGTCTTTTCTTTCCTCTTCTCCTCCTCCTTTCCGTTCTTTCTTCCTCTTCTCACGCCGTCCCTTGGTCACGGTCATCTTCTTTTTTCTTCAGGTGAACAGAATGAACATAACGGCTGTACAGCATCACTGTCAACAGCAATGACTAATGTGACAAGCAAATCAACTACATGGAAGGTTTTGTCGATAATGACTACAATGTCTAAAAGGTCAGCAACTCCTACCACATCACTGGTGACCACGGTAAGTACAACTCTGAGTCCTCAGATCCCCCCTGGGTGTGGGATTTTTTTGCGTTCCTTCGAAATTGTGCTGGGGCTGCAAGGCGGACGAGGGTTACTGGCTGGGCCTTCCGCACAGAATAGGATGGCACTGATTGGGCGTAGCAGCGACGGGAGGTACGGCAGGCGAGGAGAGGATGGGTTGTCCCCATGGGAGAGTGGGGGGGATGGGAAACCTTATGCGGTGGTTTGGGCTGCCGCGAGGAGGATATGGGATGTCTATTGAACCCTGCCTCGCCACCCCCCCTTTCTGCTGTGGATGTCATAAGTGTCGGTGCGCTCACTAGATTTGAGGGCCTTGTCTAATTACTACCCTCTCGGTGGGATTGTTGTTGTGTTTAGATTGCTGAATCGGAGACACAGGTCCTTGGGTTTTTTGTGAATTACTGTCGCATTGGCGAGATTACAGATGTTGTGCCTAGGTTTAACTGGGATTATAGATTAAGTCAGGCCCTGCTATGTCTTCCCCCCCTCTCTCATGATGTTGAATGGTCCAGGCAGCGGTCAATGAGTGGAGTAGGGCAGGGCGATGATGCCAGGGTTTCGTTGAAGCAGCTAATCCTCAGACCCTGCTATGACTTCCCCCCCGCCCTCCTCACGATGTTGAATGATCATGCAGCGGTAAATGAGTGGTGTAGGGCAGGGTGATGATGCTAGGGTTTCGTTGAGCAGTTAATCCCCTCAATCGAGGGCAGTCAATGCTGCTCATCAGTAAAAAGTGAGACCCCCCCCTCACGGTGTTGAATGATTCATGCAGCGGTAAACGAGCGGCGTAGGGCAGGGTGATGATACAAGGGTTTCGTTGAGCAGTTAATCCCCTCGAGTGAGGGCAATCAATGCTGCTCATCAATAAAAAGTGAGACTCTGCGCATATACTACAAACGATTACAAATGTTCAGGGACGCTGGACCTGCTTTCCAGCAGGTGTTGCTCCCCACCAATAGATGGAGCCTCGCCGACAGTGCTAGTTATGTCTGCTTTTATCAGCACCCCTAGCATTAG